ATTGCCACCAAACTAGTTGAAAACTGTAGTCCACCTCTCCCCCACGTGCACTCACTGGTGGGTGGGTTGGATGGAAGAATTCGAATATTCCAAATCAAAAGACCTTTTAGAGGAGAAAAAGTCTTAACAGATGGGTGGGTCATGGGTGGTATTCATGATAGATATTAGTGTTTCATATAAAATGTTGTTAACATGTCAACAGTATAGGGTAAGCCTATATCGCCCTTAACCAATTCTTTTGGTACAAAGTAATTAAAGAAGAAACCGAAATCATGCCACACTAAACCAGCCTTCACCAAACCAAAAACCCAAGTGTTATATATATATATACACACACACATATAAAATAAAGTACTTATGGTGAAAAACATGTAGTAATGAACATTTTCTTTTTGGTCGGTCCGAAAATAATTGAGAAAATATAGTGTTTAATAATTTATATAATAAAGTACAATATAATTCAATTTTTTTTTAAAAAATAATTTTTATTTTTCGCGGTCCAGATCATTTTAAATTTTATTTTGAAGTTAATATAACGGCTAATATTAACTCCTCAAATTTAATGGAAATAGTAGACTCCTTAAAAGTGTGTTTGAAATGACTTTTTAAAAATGTTTCTAATAAACACTTAAAAAAATAGTGTTTGGAATGACCTTACCATCACCAACCCCATTGCCCACCAACGCCAGCACCACCACCACCACTATTGCCACCACGGCCCCTACCATCACCGTTGCCGCCATCTTACCACCACCTTCGTCACTGTCGCCACCACCACTGTCGTCCGAACACCACCCCCACTGTCCCACTATTATCACTGCCACGCCACCACCACCGTTGTCGCCACCCCACTACCCCCATCAACATCACCAATACCATCACTATCGCTGTCATCCCACCACCATCTCTACCACCACCAACATCACCACTACCATCGCCACAACCCATCACTCACCACATCATTGTCATCTCATTTTTATATTTATTACTACTATCACCATTATCTCACCACCATCGTCGTCCACCATCACCACTCACCACCACCCACTACCATAACCCATCAACCATTCGTTGCCCACCGCCAACCACCACTGTCATCGCTCCACCATCATTGTCGTCCACTGCCACCATCATCCACTATCATAACTCACCACCACCCGTTGCCCACCACTGTTGTAGCCCTACCACCGTCATTGCCCCACCACCACCACTACTAACCACCATCGTCGTCGCCCACCCCATCATTTTTGTCACCCATGGTTGTTGCTACCCACAACAACCATCACCGTCTCTCACCGCCACCCACTATCATAACTCACCACCACCCGTTGCCCACCCCCACCCCACCACCGTTGTAGCCCCCACCACCACCACTACCAACCACCATTATTGTTGTCTACCACCATCACTATTGCTACCCCATGAATGCCACCAACACCACGATTGTCACCACCCACCATCAGTACCACCGCTCTTTCCCACTACAACTGGTGTTTAAATTCTTTTCTCTCTCCTTTATTTTTGTAATTTAATTTTGCATGTAAATAAGAATATGTTTATTGTAGATTATTTGTATTACTCCGCACCCTTCAGGTATGAAAAATAACTAGTAATTTTATAATCTATCTCCAAAAATTATTCTTTATGAAAAATATAAACAAAGCATATAAAACAAGCATTTTCAGGTATTTATATCTTTTAAGTCACCTCCCGCGCCATTGGTGGTGGTTCGAACGACCCATTACCATACCAAAAAGCCTATGAAAATGGGTAGATCATGCATACCTTATGAGGTAACGTACAAATAATTCTCAAATGTAAGTTATTACCAAAATGGGATTGAGAGGTGAAGCCATATAGATGTTTAAGTCATACTGAAAGCCAAAGGTATTCAAACTTTATGTTCACAATCTAGAAATCAAGATTAGTGAAGCATAGTATAGATATTGCTTCACTTTCTTGGGTTTGACTATGACATCCAAAAACAATACTGTCACTTATCAAATTTTTTTTAGGTATATCTGTATTATTATTTTACTAACTTTTGGAATGTACCTATTTTTTGAACTCACTTATCATTTTTTAGGTTTAATTATTAATTTTTAAATAAAATTTACCACTCTTTTAAGATAAGATATATTATCTTTTGAAGTATTTTATATTTTTTAATGTGATATTAAAATTAAATTTTATTTTATTTTTTGGTACGACAATATTTTTAGTTTTTCTATATTAAGTAGTAGCATGTGCATGTGCATGAGATGAGACCACACTTCCAAGTGTGTGTACTACTACGTCTACGTCATGAAGGAGAAGCCACATATGGTATGGAGGCAGGCGTCCAAGGGTCGTTTGGTAATTGCAAAAAGGCGTCTGAGAAGCGGGTCAATATTTGATCGTGACTTGACTCCTTTATTCTTAGTTTGAAGGCAGACGGTAGCCTCTCACTAATTGGACTTTTAATTTTACCAAAATGCCCATGCAATGTGGAAGAGAGAGATATATCAACTACTGATTGCGGCGGCGTAAAATTCTAACATCCAATTATTTATGAATTTTTTCTCAAAAAAATTAAATTATTAATGAAGTCAATTCCCTAAAAATAAAAAAAAGAAAAGAAAAAGTAAGAATATATATCTGATAGTGTAAAGTATTGAGAAATATGAGTTGATGAATTAACTGTGAATTTAGAGGAATGTTAAATAAATTTAAAAATTAGATTTGATAATCTCAATTATTGAATAGATAATGAATTTCAATAAATACTAGGACTTATAGTGAAATCATTGATTCTAATTATCAAATTTAATTTTTAAATTTACTTTTTAAGTACATGTGATATTATTCATTAATTAAACATATAAGTTACGATACAAATTTAAGATTTCAAAGCTATAAATAGCGGAGTGAGATAATGTTTGAACTGTCCGTCCTTCCCTCCCAAACATTCTCACTGCGTCATGGCAATCCCTGGGATTCTCTCCCTCATTTATTTCTCCAGTGAGTAATGATACATCATACAAATTAATTGATCTGATCATTGGTGGATTGTCACGATAACATTGAATAAGTTTATTTGAGATTATCAAATAAATTTATTAAAATCTATCATTTTTTATATTATAGATTCAAAAAAAATATTTATTAAATTGAGATTATCACATGTACAAATTTATTTAAATGGTCACCATCAATCCTTCTTTTTTTAAGGATTTTCATAACTTGTATATTATCACGAGGTTGTTGCCGAAATTATATTCTTATATGTGCAGGATTCTCAGATACTTTTCTTTAAAAACACCATAAAAAAATTGACACACTTGTCTTCCATTAACACTGAAATTCTTACCCCACCCACGTACAATGCAGGAATCCTTATCCCACCCACTCATTTGTTTGTGGACAACAAGACTAGAATATTGTGGAGGTAAAAAACATACCTAATGGTATTTGGATAACAAATGCTATCATATGGTACAATACAACACAAGTAGTTGTTGTTTCCTATGTTTCTTTGTAATGCGTTGGCCAAATTATAAACAACAAAAAACAAATCTTAAAAATTATAGGGTTATGAAGGTAAATTTAGATCAAACAACAGGGGCTTATCTGGAATATAATTTTGGCGAATAAGCCTGACAACCAACTGAAAAGCACAAGCGTCAAAGTTCCCTGTCAACACCATCATTCTTGACCGTCTCTCTTCCCTCTTCTTTTACAAACTACACTAATACTAATAGGCCAAGTTACGTCCGTTATAAGCAACTAAAGGAAGGAATACCCACAATTTTTGACCAACATAGGATGGATTTTCGTAGAATTTTATTTCTTTTGTATGACGATTTTTAAACTTATTTTCTTGTTAATTGAATACATTTTTTAGTTTATTAAAAATGTGTGTTTAATTGAAGTTTATAAAGAACAATACAAGGATTACTGCAAGATAAAAATACAAAAAATGCCCTACTCTAGGAATTGGCTGAACACCCCCACTCCCTATCAGGAGTTTATAAACTAATTTTAAAAAACTACTTTTTTTTTTTGGTAAAAGGAGTTTCAATTTCAATTTATGAATAAAAGATCAGTAATTTGGAATATAAGTTTATAATTGCAAGACAATATTTTTGTAATAGTTTGAGATAACTGCACCAAAGTGACGGTAGTGTGATTTTTTATGCAATAGAGAACAGGGTTAGAAGGGACTTGAAAACATTTTCAATTTGTCCCCTTTAATACCTAAGTCAGTAAGTGCTCAAAAGAAGGATACAACTTTTTATTGTGCTAGAGTTACTCGCAAATGCATACTTGAGACCCAATTCATTGAGTTATTCATACCTTCTAATAGAATAATGTGGTATTATAAGAGTCGTATTAAGGTGGCTTTTATAAGGTTAATCATCAAGGAGTTGTATTTTAGTATTAGATGATATCTGTAAGACAGTTGTGCTGATCATTCATTATGATGACACTGAACATTAAATTTACATGCTCCTGACAAATTTACGTCAATAAGAGACACACTTTTATTCGAATTTCTTGATATTTGAGGTATAATCATTTTTTTGTGATTTGTGTCGTGGTGGGTCTATTTCTTTCTTTGCCCAGCAGTAACTGATCGATCCCGAGATAGGCCTCATTCCTTTAATTTGTTAGAGCATTTACCCAGATTTTGTTTTTGGTACTGCCGCTGGCCAAATTTTTTGATGTAGGTGTAGAGTCCACATGTCTTACGAGAATTGATTCGTATCTAATCAATAATTACGAATTAAAAGTAAAATTAACTCGTACTCGTTCTAGGGTTTTTTTATTGGTCTGATTCTCGTGCCCAGGATATAAAACAGTAAGTAGAACAGTCTACTACACTTGCACACTACGTACCACCTACACCTACACCTACACCTACACCCACAAATAAGAAAGTTTGTATATCTATGTAGTCTATACACACACCGACGGTGTTTTCTCACTCAGCCTTTTGTGCCCACCACTTTCTCTTTCTACTCTCTCTCTCTCTCTCTCTCTCTCTGCTACAACCCGACGATCTATTCCCCGCTGGCAAAGATTCCCTCCCTGTCCTCCTCTCTCTCTCTTGCCCTTATCATCTTTCTAAGTTTCTCCTCCAAAAATCCCTAAATCTACGGTCATGCTTCTCCTGATCTCCCTCTAGTCCCTGCCGTTAATGTCCTAGACATAGGATTGGAACTCCGGCGCTTCCATATTTTTAATGGGCTGTGCAAGCTCAAAGCTCGATGACCTTCCGGCGGTGGCGCTGTGTCGCGACCGCTGTGCCTTTCTTGACGAAGCAATCCACCAGAGGTACTCTCTTGCCCAAGCTCATCTGTCCTATACTCACTATCTCAAAGCTGTCGGACTTTCTCTCCATAGATTTTTCGATCAAGATCTCGATAATTCTGCTGCTGGACCGTCTTCTCCCATTTTGAATCTTCCGACTCAGCGAAAAGTCCATTCTGAACCACCTGCAAAGCCGGCTCTTGTTCATCATACCCACTCTAATTCCGGTTCCCATCTTCATTTTCACTCCGATTCCGATGAAGGCGATTCGGGTTCGGAATCTCTACATCTGCACTCGGAGGATAATACTTCGCCGCTTCATTCTTACCATCATCTAAGTTATGCAGATCACGATACCCCAGGTTCGTATCCCCAGAGTAACGGATTCATGAACATCAATTATATGAAGAATCAAACGACGCCGTCGGTGGTGCATGAGCAACGGCCCATGAGTCCTGAGACTGTGTATATGGGCGAATCTTCTTCATACTATCCTTACCCGTACAATAATTCACACCCTAGCTCTTCGTACAATAATTATGGTGGTTTCTTTGGTTCATCGGCGCCTCCGCCTTATGGTTATTCATCTCCACCGGCTCCGGCGGGGCTTTTATCGGCGGAGTCAACTTCAAAACCGCCTCCTCCTCCACCTTCACCACCACCGAGCTCAGGTTGGGATTTTATGAATGTTTTTGAGAGTTCTGAGAATTATTATCCGGCGTATACACCGAGTCGTGACTCGAGGGAGCTAAGAGAAGAAGAGGGAATTCCTGATTTGGAAGATGAGGATTTTGAACATGAAGTTGTCAAGGAAGTACATGGAGATCAGAAATTCGTTCATGATGTTGGTGGCCGCACCAGTGGTGGTGGCAATTATTCGAAGGCGGTGGTTGATGATGACGGTGGGAAAGCCAAAGATTCGGAGTTGCTATATCGAACGAGGCCGAGTGTTTCACAGGAGAATGATCCGATGGAGTATGAGGTGCATATGGTGGATAAGAAAGTGGTTGATACTGAGGAGAGGCCAGGAGGTCTGGGCAATGTGGCTGGGTTTAAGCCTCCAGGTGGTTTTAAGGGTGACTTTGAAATTGTTAGGGAAATTCAGGTTCAATTTGAGCGAGCTTCTGAGTCAGGACATGAATTAGCAAAGATGCTTGAGGCTGGAAAACTCCCAGTTAATCGCAAACATGCTGCCTATCAAGGTAAAGAATTTCACTCCTTTTCGTTAGTCTTTTAACATTTATAAGACTCCTGCCAAGAAGTTTGATTTTGGACGCGTACATCATGTTTAGAGGCGCTTATTAGCATAAATTGGTTAATCTGTGATAAGTTAGTCAACAATTTCTTCTTTTGGGGATTGAATTGACGGTGACGTTATGGAAACCCGTACAGAAGGATTGATAAAACTATGAAGTTTTTTTTGATACTGTCTTAGTGCACGTGAAGATGCTTAATTAATCGGAATCTTAAATTTATTCAATTGTTTGTTAACGTTCAATCTTTGAATATTTGTGGAGCAGCTTCGAAGTTTTTGTATGCAATTACTCCTCCATTGTCGATAGGATTGTCTCAACCTTCTACTTCTAAAGAGGCCGGGCCCTCCTCTATTGACAAGGCTGATCCTTCCCACTTGGATTTTGATGAAAATGTGGAACTGATGTCCAAAAATATTTCTTCTACTTTACAGAAGCTGCACCTCTGGGAGAAGAAGCTATATGAGGAAGTAAAGGTTTGTTGCCAATTCCTATTAATAATTTCTTATTTCTTCTAGTATTTTCTTTAGATTGATTCTTTTTTGTACCAAGTACATTGTCTGTGGTCCTTATGTGCCCACTGCTGCTAAAATAGTTCTTCAAGTACGCAAATGGATGGCCATTTTATCCAACACATTGCCATTTATGCTTCCTTGCATGATTTCAAATAAATATAAGAATTTACAATGAGCTGTGTATAATTTGCTTCATGGAAGATGTGGTGTACTGGAGGGCCCCAATAAGTTCCGCAGCCACCAGCTATCAGGAATCAAGAATCCATGATTGTGATGTTCGGAAGGTTGAGCTTCCATGAGGGTGTTGAATATGGGTCTAAAATATGGATATTTAAAATGTTATTAACTTGTCTTGAAGCAGGCTACTTGCTTTGTGTTTGAGTGCTTGCAATGTTTCCATTTTTTGGAAATGGCTAAAACCAACATAGTATGTTTATTCGTTTTACTGCGATATGACTTGTATATTTTCCTTCAATTATGTTGTGATACTAAGACTTACCATAACTTGCATCCCTTTGAAGAACAAAAGAAATAAATTCCATTGAAGGTGTATTTTTTTGTGTTCTCTCCATTGTCTATACACTCAGATACGATTGTACATGTGTTCTAGAATGATGCATTAAAGAACTAGTAATGTATTCAGTTTGTGCAAGCATATGTTTAACCTATTTAGTATTTACCTGTTGAGCTGGGAGCCGCATGATCATTTCTTTGTAGTAATCTTCACGCTTTCTGCAGGTTGAGGAGAAAATGAGAGTGCTTCATGAGAGGAAGAACCGAAAATTGAAGCGCTTAGATGAAAGGGGTGTTGAGGCTCACAAAGTTGATGCTACAAGAACTTTAGTCAGAAGTCTTTCCACAAAAATTCGAATTGCAATTCAGGTTGTTGATAAGATATCTGTGAAAATAAATAAGTTGAGGGATGAAGAGTTGTGGCCACAGCTAAATGAATTAAGTCAAGGGTATGTGATTCTATGTAAACTTGTTGCGAGCATTTTAAAATAGCATTTTCAAGCATTCCATTTCTCAATTGACTCCCAGCTGTATGTGTGTTTTATGATGTGTTGTTGTTTAAGCTGCCATTTTCATAATAATAGTCACTCTGAGGTTATTGTTATTGAGAATGTTTTTACTATTATTCTTTGTGTCTGTCTTCTACTTTATGCTGCCAATATTAACTTGGCTGAATCCACTTAAATCAGTATGGCCTTTTGTTTTCTTAGGAAGACTGGATTTCAGGAAAAAGTTCTGAAAGATTCAGTGATATAATTCAAGGCTTTTTTTCCCATTTATTGGGCCCATACAACCTCCACTCCATGTTATTTGAATAATTACATTAATACGACACACTTAGTTCTGTAGATAATATTTGGATTTAGCAATAAACAAAAAGTTCTTCATTTTCTTTAACTTAAACTTTGTGCTGATTAGTTAACTGTAGCCATTGTACGAGATTGTAGAGAGATGTTCTGATTGTGTGACTAACAATGTCGCAGCTTCACCATGCTGCTCAGAGTTCATTAGCAGGGGCATTCTATCAATTCTTTGAGCTGATTAAATTATTTAAATTACATGTGGTATTCACTGAAGTGGTTTAAGTTTGATGTCTCCTTTGATAGAGCAATCACTCTGAAAATGGATATATGTGATGTCATCTTTTTATGGTGGCTTATTTATGGTGACAAAAAGTTTGTCAGTACTTTGTAATTTTGATATATCGTCATTTCCACATGGATATATGTGATGTCATCTTTTTATGGTGGCTTATTTCTTATTATTCTAGGTTAATGAGAATGTGGAAATCCATGCTTGAATGCCATCGTCGTCAATGTCATGCTATTGCAGAAGCTAAACGATTGGATGCCATTGCTTCTCGCAAACACTTCACTGATGCTCATCTTGAAGCCACGTTGCAGCTTGAGCATGAGCTTCTTAACTGGACTTTAAGTTATTCTTGTTGGGTTGGTGCCCAGAAGGGTTTCGTGAGAGCATTAAATAACTGGCTTCTGAAATGTCTACTTTATGTGCCTGAGGTAACACCTGATGGTATAGTTCCCTTCTCCCCTGGTAGGATAGGTGCACCGCCTGTGTTTGTGATCTGTAATCAATGGTCACAAGCATTGGAGAGAATTTCTGAGAAGGAAGTGGTTGATTCTCTTCGAGATTTCGCGTCAAGTGTGCTTCAGCTATGGGAACGGGACAAGCTAGAAATGCGCCAGAGGATGATGATGCACAAGGATTTGGAGAGGAAAGTTAAGGAGCTGGAGAGGGAGGACCAAAAGATACAGAAGGAGATTCAGGCGCTAGACAAAAGGATGGTTCTGGTTTCTGGGGATGGCAGCGGTCTCTCTGTAACTGGACAAGTTGTGTACCAGAGTGACACTAGCAAAAATAGTAGCCTACAAGTGAGCCTGCAACATATTTTTGAGGCAATGGAGAGGTTCACAGCTAACAACTTTAAAGCTTATGAGGAGCTGTTGCAGCGTATTGAAGAGGATAGACTTGGTCGAGAACATGAAGAAGTTCATAGGGCTGCATAGTGGAATTGAAACAATGTCATCTCTTTTGAGTTGGTGATTAGAATCATTATGTTCAGCTTTCCTTCACGTTGATACATTGTTTGGAACTTGAGAGGTGGGATCAATGCACTGGAGTTTCATAAATTCACTCCTCTAGTTGGGTGGTTGTCTCCGCCTCATTGGAGCTCCAGCATGGTTCATGTTGTGGGGTGTTTTAGTTGGTTTTGTCATTCCCAGCTGCAATTTCAGGGCACAATCCCAATGGTTTGGTCAATTTTTGAGTCAACCACTGCCATTGAATGATAATATTTGCAGTGCTGTGGAAGCGATAGGAGGAAGGAAGCTGGATTAAATAGAACCTAACTTGGTGAACACGAGAAATTCAAAAGCTGCAGCTGGCCAAAGTTGGGTGATGTTTATGATTCCTTGATAAAGTTGATATAGTCCGACATAGTGAGACTGCTTTCTGAAAGTGAAACAAAGTTGGCAGGATGACATTGCTCACTGGTTTCAGGCCTCTTATTGGCTTAAGTAGCGATATGACATTGCTCACTGTTGCTTAAAGAGAACTGGTCCACTACCCGGGCCAGTGTTGTGGATATTGTGCATCTGGATGGGACTCCTCTGACCTATTTCCTACCATGCCTTAAAAAGACAGGGTGGTAGGTTAAACCAGCTCTGATGGAAGTGGTTTAGGTCATGCATCCACCAACTGAGACCAGTAGAGATTAGCTGGAGAGTCCTTTGAGCATGGTAAATTTTACTTCAATTTCTCCTTAGTATGACTAGATCAATCAAGTTTTGGCCTGTGGGCTGTCTTGTGACGCAAGTTGGGGTACCTTAGGTCTTGTATAATAGGATAGATGCTTATTATTTTATTTATTGGTTAAATTGTTATTGTTGTACATAATTCCTTATGTTACTAAAGCCTTGCATTGTGATACATACCTGAATGATGGCGGTGTTGGACTGAGCAATATGATTATCCTGCTGGTAAGTTGAGAATGATAAAAACTGATTGCAGGTCCATTTGAGTCGGTGCTTAGGATTGGCATTTTTTGCTGATGCATGTAAAAGCCTTTGAAACTCCTCTTTGCATGTGCTTACAATGTTTGATGGATATAATCATCCACTCGAAAAAATTTGATCAGTGCACGAGACTCCCACTATTTTAGGGATACTATCATATTCATCTCAATTTCAACCACGCCCTTTTTAGGTATGAATGCTACTTTTATTTGATAAGAAGGGTGCCGGGAGAGGGGCAACTTATATCGTATGTGGGAGTGGGGACTTTTCATAACTAAACCTTATTGTTTTTAAGCAAAGGTGATGGAATCCCAACTCATGCTTCCTCCTCTTAGTAGTCTCATTTTTACCACTTGCTTATGACATGAATTTATTAAAATGATAACTAAATGTCGAACTAACCCTGGGGCTTTATATAATCTGAATGGGGATCAAAAAAAAAAATTGTTTCCTCAATTTTCAGATGTATTATAGGAAATGCCAAGAAGGTTCCCCATTATTAAATGAGAAAAATCCTTTTCATAGTAGGATCAGGGTTTTGAGTTGTGCTTGGGAATGAGAATGATATTTGAACAAACACTCTCAAGTATTATTAGTTTTTACAACAAAATCAAGATCTTGCCGTCACTCTATGGTTGAGTCTAATCTTTTCTGTTCCGTTTCATAACCCAATGACCGTTGTGAATGCATTCCAGACCTTCCATTCAAAGGGAAAATACAAATGGCTACAAGTTCTGTATCTGCAATTCTAAAGTTTGATTGCTCTCAAGCATCATATAACTTTTAGAAATTTAGTACATTGGCATAAGGGTTGCAATTGTCCAGCCAAGGGCTACGTAACTGTGTCCAAAAAGGGTCCTGGGTCCAGTCCATGCTGAATTTGGGTACTTGGACCTCTGTCAACTTTTCTATCCCCATGGGCAACTGCAGAGTTGAGCAAGTCTTTCCTACATTTTCCTCTGTTCCACCGTTCTTTCTCTCCTCTAATTGTAGTAGCTCTTCATCTTCCTTCTTGAAAACCATAAAATCTTCATGTCGATTGCAAAACGACATGGTGCCCATTATTGGAGATGCAGGAGGAGGTGCTTGAATTGTCTTCATTTCCTCTTCCATTGCTGCCCTCTGCTCCAACACCTTCAAGGAGGTTGCCTTTCTATATATCTTACACAACACTGTGTCCTGCATTGCATTATAAGCAACAAACATTAGCCTCTTCTGTCACAATAGAGAAAATAGGAGCCAACATTTCTGGGTCCTCCCATCATATACATATTTGACACAATTCAAATGATTTGAGTCAATTGTGTTTCATCAGTAGTTTTAATGATTTCTACATGTACTGTTGCTTTTTATGAAAAAAAAGCTTAGAAAAGTGTTTTGAAGACAAGTTTTTATATTGAAAAGTGTTGGTGTAAGCTAGGTTTTCTGTGGACACAATGATAGCTTAAAAAATAAGTTGAAAACTACAAATTGTGTGTGTTTTATTGCCTAGTTGGCGACCTCCAACACCATTACACCAAAGGGTGGGGGTGGGGGTGGGGAATGTGGGTGGGAGTGGGGGGTAATTCATGAGTTTCATTCTTGTACCTTGGGTGAGGGGCATGTATCAGGTAAGCGGTACTCATTCATGACCCAATCAGTTTTACAGCCTCGTGGTGCTCTGCCCTCATAAAAAACGAGAGTCTTCTTCAACCCTATCATCCTCTTGGGGTCCGATAAACTCAGTATCTTACGGTCTGAACCAGTTGCCTTCCAGAATCCATTCTCAGTTGTCCTATTAGGCCTTCCTCCACTGCCATGCTTCCGGTCCCTAGGCACAAAGAAGTACCATTCTCTCTCGCCAATCTTTGCCAGCCCTGTTTAAACAATGATATCTATTAATAATAAGGTAATATGAAACGTAAACTCAACTCAACTCGGCCTGAATTAGTCTTACTCCACCAATATATAATCTCGGAAGACTAAGAAAAGATACTGGAAAGCAGACCCAATATTCACCTGGCAAGTCCCAAGGATCATGATGGTAAATGTTCAGAAAACCAATTATATCAGAGCGCCATTTTTTGCCAAAAACCATATTTTTCAGATAGAATTCAAGAAGCTCTTCTTCAGTGGGGTGAAACCGAAAACCTGGCAACTCAAGCTCCAATGTTGATTCATCCATGGGAGTGCCTCCTGTCCCTGTAATTCTGGTTTGTGGGTACTGGATATTTGCTATTTTCTTCTAAGTGTTTATGGAGGGCAATGTTTTATAGAGAGCAATGGTCCACATGCACCACCACCCCCCCTAAGGTTTTTATAGGGGACATTTGTGAGCTGTGTGGTGGCACTTCAAGTGAAGTCTTCGATGGAGAGGACTTGAGATGGGTGTCCCAAATGGTAGGTCCACACGGTTGTAGACTGATAACATGATGTGGACATCAACACGTCTTTGGTTCTTTGCTTGACTCTCTGCTTTCTTCAGTTCTGGACTTTTACTAGGAAATTCCAATCAAATGGAATTTTCCTTGGAAATTTCGATTACACATTTGGAAAACATCCTATTGTTTCGACTTTCATTTTTTTTTTTTGTAGTCTTTAGAGGTGTCTGGGTCAACTTACATACATTTCGACTAATTCCCTTTCTAATCCAGTTATAGACAGATTATACACGTCAGAATTAAGGAATTTATGAGAATAAATCTCTCTTAATCCGACCAAGAGAGTTGTCAAATTTAAAATTCATGATGTCTAAATTTATAAATCGTCACTATCTGGACTATCTTGAGATTATAGTTTCAACTTTCATGAGCATTTATTTTCAAAAACATTGATTACAAAGACGTTGAATCAGTCATATTAACTATGCCTCAGATTGCCACTGGACTGTGGATCAATTCAACAACAAAATTTTGAAGGCTTCACCGTAATATCAGTGAAAACTACAACCTATCAGAGAGAACATTTTTTTAAGCTTCAAACCTATCAGAGAGAGAACATTTTTTTTAAGCTTCAAGTCTTTGGTAGGAACCATAGTCCAATGATTGAGTCTGATTTTTTGTTACTCAGAAGTCTTAAATTCAATTTCTTCTCATACTTTTTAAGAGACATACTCTAATTTAACTTAAGTCACAATCGCTAACTGTTGATCTCAAAGAAATAATCGATACAAATCTGAAAAACCTGTAACAAAAAAAAGTGTCTTAATAGATTTTTCTGCAACTAAAGTAAAATAAAATATTTGCTAGTTTCAACTTGAAAAGGTACATACGTCTCTTATATCTAAGAATAATTTAATTTTTTCACATTAATAAATCTCCGTGCACCGTCGAAGTTCGCAAAAAAAAAACTAGAAAGGGGGAAAGAATGTAAAATATTAATTATATAAGAAAGTATTTTGTTACACCCCTGAAAAAGTATTTCGAAAAAACAATAAGCGGAGTGGGGGACTCTAAACTCCCAAATGATAAAATAATGTTTGGAATGGCCTGCATTTTCTTGATGCTGATGGGAAAGGAAAGTCATTTCCCTCCAATCTCCTCCTACTTTTTATCTATAATAGTGACATAATTGCATCTGACCAAATCAAATACATCCTTCAGAAATTATTCTTTGATGGCTATTTTGACTTCAAGTCTTCCCCAACGGCCTCTCTGCAAGGATGAGAAGTCCTATTTCCTTACAAGAACCCCATGTATTTAGATTCTATACTAATACTAGTAGTAGCACCCCCAAGGTAAAATTTTAGACTAATTAGTTTTTTTTGGGTTTTTGTGGAGTTTAATTTTTTGTGTTGATCCAGATTATGACCCGACTCGAAATAATATTGCATGATTTTTAATGAAATTTTTTTTGAAACTTAGTCCATGAGCGCTACTGCTTTGGCCCGCTTTGTAGTCCGATGCAGGATATATAAAACCTGTTGTTTTGGGTGATTAGAGTTTTATTGATTTTGTATGGCTGCTCTATATTCCTTCTTGATAATATTGAAATCCCTACAACTTCGTGGATGTAGATAAATTGTCGAACCAAGTAAATATTATCTTGTATGTGTGATTATTTTTCTTTGGCGTGTGTTTTCTCTATTTTTGTTTCTCACAAGTTTGAAAATTTCGCATGAATTTCCTAACAGTTTTAACATATTTGGTTAATAGTACTCTTGTGATGAATTCAACACAATTATTTTTGTGGTCACAACGCTACATAATAATTGGTACCTCTTATATATATATATAAGTTATTGTCTGTGCATAAATGTATAGAGTAATAAAAATAGTAAATAATAAACATATTTGTATTCATATCCAAAATTAAATCACAAACAAAAAGAAAAGATAAATGAATTTAAACATCAGTTGTAGTGGGGGTGAAAGGTGGTGAGCGACAGTAGTGGTAAGAGACTAAGATGGTTGTGGTGGGTGCCAATGACTGTGGTGGCAGTGATGATGGCGGCGGTGGTGGCGGCAGTGAAGGTTGAGGTAGTGGTGGAACGATTTCAAGCACTATTATTTTTTAAAGTACTTATAAGAAATAATTCTTAAAAATTCTTTTAAAAAGTCACTTCAAACACACCCTTAAGACCCTATTTTTCCTATTAAATTTAGAGTGTTTATATTAGCCGTTAGATTAACTGTAAAGTAAAATTTAAAACGATCTGAACCGCGAAAAGCAAAGTCATTTTGTTTATTTTTTGAAATTTCAATTGTAAACTACTTTATTATATACTAGTTATTGTCTGTGCTTGAAGACACATAGTAATAAAAAATGGTAAATAATAAATATATTTGTATTTATATCTAAAATCGAATCACAAACATAGAGAAAAAATAAAATAATTTAAGCATCGATTTGTAGTGGGGGCGAGAGATGGTGGGCAGCAATAGTGGTTGTAGGAGACGGTGATAGTTGTGGTGGTGACAATGACCGTGGTGGCGGTGAAGGCGGCAGTAATAGTGGAGGTGGTGGCAGTGGTGATGGGGGTATGGTTTCAAATATACTTTTTTTAAAAAAAAAGTATTTATGAGGAATAATTTGTAGAAATACTTTTAAAAAATCACTCTAAACACACTCTTAAAGACCTATTTTTTCTATTAATTTAAGGTGTTAATATTAGTCGTTAGATTAATTTTAAAGTAAAATTTGAAACGATCTCAATCGCAAATAGCAAAATTCATTTGTTTATCTTTTGAGATTTAAATTGTAAGCTATTTTATTATATATACTAGTTTATTATTTTGTGCCTGAAGGCACAAAATAATTAAAAATGGTAAACAATAAACATATTTATATTTATATCCAAAAATCAAATCATAAACATAGAAAAGAGATAAAAGAATTTAAGCATCGATTTATAGTGGGGGTGAGAGGTGGTGGACGGTAGTGGTGGTGGTAGGAGACGGTGATGATTGTGGTAAGAGACAGTGATTGTTTGTGGTAGATGGCAATGACTGTGGTGGCGGGGGGGGGGGGGTAGTAGTGGTGGCAGTGGTGGAGGCGGTGGCGATGGTGATGGTGGCGACGGTGGTGGTGAAGTGGTGGAGGTGGTGGCGATAGTGATGGTAGCGGCGATAGTGGCGAGGTTTGCAACAGCAGTGGTGGCAGCGACGATGACGATGACAATGACAGTGGTAGCGACGACGCTGGTGGTGGCAGTTGTGGTGGTGATGGCGATGATGATGGTAGATGTAGTGGTGAAGAAGTTTCAAATACTATTTTATTTTTAAATAATATTTAAGAAAAATAATTTTTAAAAGTATTTTTAAAAAATCACTCCAAACACACCATTTAGAAACATATTCTTTCTATTAAATTTAGAATATTAATATTAGCCGTTAGATTAATTTTAAAGTAAAATTTAAAACGATCTCAACTGCGAATAAGAAAATTAATTTTTTTTTATTTTTTAAAATTTAAATTATAAACTACTTTATTAATGTCCACATAAACCTGTAGTCATATGTATATTTTGATATTCTGTTACTTATATATGGAACCCATCAATTTCAAACGTCGTTTTTTGCTTCCTGAATATGGAGAAATTCTGTAATTTTTCATTTTTTTTGATCATATTAGTGATCATTCGAAGCTGCTTAACACCTAACAGACACGAAGATGAACGATGAAGAACCTTCTGTGCAATTTCCCGGAATCTTCCCCGTGTAGGCCCAAAGTACAAAACTTCAAGTAACATATACGGTTACCAGGCTAATCTTAGCCTATCTTGTTACAAGGCAGGCTGGCCCATCACCCAGAATGTGCAACCATGAAACACACGGCCGGTCCATTTACTTGATCGGTCATTGGGCTTCCGAAACAGCTATTGGACAGCGGGATAGGAAAGAAAAGGTTAGAGTATGCTTACTTTTCAGGCCATCCCTCCAACTACACGCAGTGATTTTTTTTATTTTTTTTCCATGGACATGATAATTACAAAATTAAATAAGATCTACTCACTTATAAATTTAAATTAATTTATTATTAATTAGTGACAGTAATGTCATCACTACATTCAATATTTTCTCCATCTCTCTCGCGATTATACCTACAAATGAGCTGTAAAATATACACTTGCTGCACATTAACCAAGAGCCAACCAAATACAAGTCCAGTGAAAAATGAACTCCAGACAACAGTAATTAAACACTGTCAGAGAAAAAGGAAAACAAACACTTAAAAGACCACAACACTCGGCTTTGGTTCAAATGGGCATGTATATAATATATATACAATAGCAAACTGCTTCTAAGCTTAGTTCTTCCCACTTCGTTTTATACACGCTTCACATACATACATATATATATAACCATGTTTAAAGTCGCAAATCGCAATATATATATATATATATATGTACAAAAAGCATTGTTCTAACACTTACAAAAGACGAAAAGGAAATTATAAATATTATTTACTTGTCCAATTCATTCAAACCCCACCCTAGCATTCTGGTGGGCTTAGTACTTGGTACGTAATACCCAAAATCAGATAGAAAAGGAGAGAGCCCAAAACACTAGTTCATTTGCCTCCCCTTTCTCATCTTTGTTTTCTTCATAGAGCAACCTCGGTCGGCATAGCATTGAACCCCACTTGTTGTGGTTGCTGTTGCTCGACCTCCCACTTCACCTTAGCTACGACTCCATCATGCACTGGTACGTACTCCTACACAAAACAAAAGATTTAGGTATCATCATTACAGTAAAAATGAAGATGCAAAGATGGTAACCTCTGAAGATTCTTTCTTCTACTACCACTATGTCTTTTCCATTCTTATGAATGATCAAATAATAGCTAAAGCAGGAGGCAAAAAAAGTTATCAGTTGT